TATAATGGTGAATGTCAATTGCATATATATTTCATGTATTATCACACTGAGATTTGATTTTCGTGCATAAGTCTGCACATTATAATGGTGAATGTACAATGTTTATATTTATTTCATGTAATATCATACCGAGATTGGATTTTCGTGCGTAAGTCTGCAAATTATAATGGTGAATGTACAATGTATACATATATTTCATGTATTATCATAATAATAATAATAATAATAATAGCTAGTTCTTATATAGCGCTTTTCAAGACCGAAGGCCCTCTTAAAGCGCTTTACAGATACATATATTATTACCCCGGTGTTACCCGCACAAAATGTATGCACATTTTCAACTTCCTGGGGAGCATTCCTGCCAGGCGTCGTTTTACAAGCGCACACTTGCTAATCTAACCACATTAGCTTTCGCATCCTACCGGGTACCCATTTAACACCTGGGTGGAGAGTGGCAAATGTAGATCACTGTCTTGCCAAAGGACATTAGTGCCGCGGTGGGACTTGAACCGCGAACCTTGTGATCCACAGTCCGGTGACATATCCACTCGTCCACGACACCTATATCATACTGAGATTGGATTTTCGTGCATAAGTTTGCACATTATAATGGTGAATGTACAATGGATATATATATTTCATGTATTATCATACTGAGATTGGATTTTCGTGCATACGTCTGCACATTATAATGGTGAATTTACAATGGATATATATATATTTCATGTATTATCATACTGAAATTGGATTTTCGTGCATAAGTCTGCACATTATAATGGTGAATGTCAATTGCATATATATGTCATGTAATATCAAACTGATATTTGATTTTCGTGCATAAGTCTGCACATTATAATGGTGAATGTCAATTGCATATATATTTCATGTATTATCACACTGAGATTGGATTTTCGTGCATATGTCTGCACATTATAATGGTGAATGTACAATGTATATATTTATTTCATGTAATATCATACTGAGATTGGATTTTCGTGCGTAAGTCTGCAAATTATAATGGTGGATGTCAATTGCATATATATGTCATGTAACACCATACTGAGACCATACTGATTTGCAATTTTCTGCAAGAGTCTGCAAAGTTTGTGTTGATTCTCTTGTTGCAAATATATTTTCCGACATCTGTAGGCTTTTAACAAAATTGGATGTGCGTCCATAATTCTGTACATTGTTTCTTGGATATCTGTAAACTACTGTGCGTATAATCAAGACAGACATTTTCAGAAAAACGCAACACTTCAACAGGGCAAAACCTGGGCGCTTATTATGATGACGTAGCAGTTGTATACTTGAAAATACAGAGCTCAGTGAATACGCGCAAGTCCTTTGTTGCGCGCAGTTGTTATTCATTTACACGTTACACAAGACGTTCCACATCTGACGAAGCCTCTAATGCTGTAAAGGTAATATGCTCAATATCATATACCACTGTTTAAATAACATTTCAGTTCATACGTCGGCAATGATTCCTTGTTCCTTGACGGATTCTCCTTGTAAATTTCGTTGCATTCGATGTAAATATGTTTTCCGTGCATAACTCTGTATACTTTAATGGTGAATTCGTTATATAAATGCTTAATTTTATATCATATTTTTATGACTGATTAGATATGAGCCCGTGAACTTTCAATGAATTAAAATGTGTCGACTTCGTTATCTGACTATTTATACCAAGTTTACTTTATTACTTGCGTAATTGTTTTCTTTTTCATAGTTTTTACGTTCATGATGTTGATGTTATGTTTACCTTTACGATTTTATATTGAATATACAGATGATGTGTTACTGTAATGCTTCTATTAATTTATATAAGCTTGTTAAAATAACTGGTCATTTAAAGAGAATGAAAGGGATTGAGAGAGAGATATAGAGGTACACAATTGTACAACGTAGGGGGCGTAACTTAAAAGGCAAATGAAAACGAGATCATTGACATGACAGATGCAATTAACAGACGGAGAAGAGAAAAAGAGAATGGAATAAGAAGCAGAAGGTGGTAGCAGAAGTCCGGAGAAGACGGAATAGATTAATTGATGTGATGAAGAAAAAATAATAATTTGAAAATGAGAAAAAGATTGGATGACTCAAAATAAAAAGCAAGGAGGATTGGAATATTGGTAAGAAATATTCATAGATGGTTTTCTCGCCCAGTTTCTTATTTTTGGACCTCAAATCGATCAAGGTGCATTGTAGATTGATGTCGGTCTTTCATATTTAAAGTCCGTGCATAGGAATTCATTTAGAGACGCGAACATTGATTCATGAGCATCCGAACTAATTAATCGGCAAACTTATTCCAGTTAATGGCATTCCGATTTTTGATATCAGCATTCGATTTAATTTAGGGCAAAGCAAGTTTTAACGTCATAAAAGACGTGGAAAAATCCGGAACTTCGTTACTCCGAGTGTTTGTAATTCCGAAGCTTCGTTACTCCGAAAGTTCATAATTGCGAAGGCTCGTTTTTCCGAAAATGAAATAAAATTCAATATTCCGAAAATTAATTGAGGTTCATAATCCCAAGGATCCGGAAAAAAAATAGAATCCTGTATCTTTTAAACTTTCACCCTGACGAGGTTTTTATTATTTTTCGCAGTTCATATCTGCAAAATTATATCATCTACTTCAAAACATGTGATTAGCGTTAGGAAATATTCGAATGGATTACAAAATTTCTTCGTACGACGGAGACGGAGAATGTGCTGTTTCACGCTCGTCGCACGGTGAGTTTATACACGTGTACGAATGGAGAAATGGCGGTCTCGTTCACGCAAAGTTCTCTTCAGCAATGTGTCAATTAAAATTATGTTTTATACTCACATGCAAGATTCATTTGCTGGAACCACAATTTTCGCAACAAGTGTATTTTTATATTTTTACTAACATTATCTTAGTCTTGTACCATTAATCTATGCAACGAACTTGAACGGAAATCGCGCTCGGCCCACAGCCTACTAAGAGTTTAACATCTTTATGAAATGGACTAACGGGTGATTCATTTATACTAACCGCATGTGTATTTGTTGTTTTATGAATTTGGTCCCCCGTTTCAATGTCTGTGTGAGTTGTATTGGTGCATGGTGCCATGGTCTCCGCCGGTAACTAATACTTTTTAGGCGGGATCGAAGCATCAAATTTAGTCAAGCGCAAGGCATTAAAACACATATGGGTGTAATTAATTACACCTAAAACGTCCCTTTCCTTCGCTTGCTCTGTGTCAGAAACTAATTCGGTACTATGCGTTACCCCCGCCCTTCATGTTCTACACAAATTTGGATCATCGCCTGATGCCATCGAGTGGGGTGGTGTGGAAGAGGGTACAAACTATAACATTCCCATCTTCTTATATTATCCTGGCCCCTCTTTTCGCTGTGTCGTGTGGTTACAGCGGGCGGGAGGGAGGGAGATGGGGGGGGGGGGGGGGGGGGGGGGGGGGGGGGGGGGGGGGGGGGGGGGGGGGTGGATGGCAACCGGTATTTATTCACCTTACATGAAACAAAATTATCGGCAAAACATAGGGGCTGTCACTGCTTTCCTTGAATCCCCCATCTTCTCTCTATCCTCTCGTCTCCTTTCTCTCTCTTTCACACTTATTAAGTGTCTCTATTCTTTCTATGCATCTCTCTCTCTCTCCAGATTCACCCTCTCCTGTCGACCCCACCTCTCTCTCTCTCTCTCTTCAGTCTCCTTATTTGTTTTTCTTCTCATTTTATATGTTACTTCTTTCACATTATAGGCCATTCTCCTTCAACTTTCTCAATATAATACAGCGAAACCTCAGTATAAAGATCTCTGATATAACGAGGTATCTATTAAAACAAGGTTATTTTGCTGGTCCCAACTATTTGTATTCTTGTTTTGCTGGTCCTAAGGACCTCGTTATAACGAGATTCCACTGTATTCTAGTCTCCTCTCTTTCTCAATCTCTCTCCTTTACCTACCTCTTTATCAAATATTCCTTATTTTTAGTTACCAATTCCCTATCTCCAATACTCCTCTCATTCCCCATGTAACTCTTTCATACACACTTTCCTCGTCTCCTTTGTCTTTCTCTTCATTGGATTAATATTTCCGTCTCTGTTTTTCCCTCTCTCCCCCATCCACCCTCCCTCGATCTTCCTTGTTTTGTTCTATCTCTCTCGTTGATGCCACTGAGCTGAGAACACATTCAACTACCCTTCGATGGCACAAGCATGACATACATGTACATGAACTCTAATACAATTAAGTTGAGTGACTCAAGAAGTCGTAATTTCTGTATTGCGTTATTACCAGTCTGTGCTAATGAAGGCTGTAGCTGAATATTCACAAGTAACTCTACGTAATGTTGGCTCTGTTTAATTATTCATTTACCTTTTTGGTATGATATCATTCTGTCATGTCGAGTCATTTCAGGGAAAGATGCTGACGCAGTCCTAAAATACGTCATCCAAATGACGGCGCATATGCAAGGGCATTACACACAATACGGCAAAAAAATATAACTTCAACTCATCATCCATACGAAGGCAATTTGCTCATAGAGTAGTAATTCAACCAGGGGCGTACGCAGGGGAGGGGGGGGGGGGTGTTTTGGGGGGGTTAAACCCCCCCCTTTGGTATTTTAATGTGTGTAAACCCCCCTAAAAAATCCCTAACCCCCCCCCCCCCCTTGATTTTTTTTTTTTTTTTTTAATTATTTAATAAAAAAATAAAAATTACCCCCATGGCTGACCTAAGAAAGGTGACCTTACCCCCCCCCCCCCAACGGAGCAAATGTCAATTTTTCAAATTTTTGAGACAAAAAAAAGAAGTGTCCTCTCCCCCCCCCCCCCCCCCCCCCCCCCCCCCCCCCCCCCCCCCCCCCCCCCCCCCCCCACTGAGCGAATTTTCGTCTGGCTGAGTCGTTGCGTTTTTTTTTGGGCTCCCAAAAAAAATAAAAAATGTCCGCTTAACCCAAGAATAATTATACTAATAATTTAACAAACACACAGCAATCAACTCAATGAGATCTTTATATCTCTTTATTAGTCACGTGATAATACAGCTAGCGTACATGAACGTTCATTGTTATCTATTTACACATCTTTAGAAAAAGATACAAAAATCGAGCCTTTTAGTTTGGAGAAGGATAAAGCTTCATTCTATATAAACCTGCAGTCACTTTTAAAAATGATTTACATGACATGTTTACTGTAAAAAGGTCATCCAGATGGACAAACGGTATTGAAACACATTACTATAATGGTCATAGTTCACAGCAGGAATCGGTGCAATATCGTATTTACTTGGTTTGGGGTCTATTTAAGGATCATTGTATACTGATATAATCTAATGTCACCAATACAGATTCGTTCTTTTTCTCTCTTTAGAGGTAGGTAAAAAGTTTCCTTTTTCCATACAAGAAACAAAGTACATAGGCATACATTGTAGACTATTGGTTTTTACATTTAGGTTTTAGACTAAACATTATCAACATAAAAAAATCTACATTAACGACACTCATACAAGTTTAAATGGAGAACCGACAGTCTTTTTAGTGGTATCGAATCTTCCAACATTGTCTACAAAATATTCAATATTTGTACCAATTTATTCATTTAACTGTATATTTTATTACATTAATAAGAAGTAAAGAAGATGAACTCGTAAAGTGCTTTCCCATAGGGCAGTCATTCTCATTCTTTATCACACTTAATGCTTGCAATTTTCTGTTCGTTATCAGATCAATATACAAACAGCCAAACACTTGTGAGCTAACGTATGGTAACAAACGTTGTAGAAGAAGTTTACCTGGTAGCTAGAGTATAAAGAGCAACGTTAACATTGAATGATGAGACGATTAGAAGCCAAAGAAAGGATCGGCTTGGTGGAAGAGACATTCCTCAGGGGAGTTAGGAGGTAAGAAATCACTGCCAGGTCCCTCAAATCCATTTGCTCCAGCTTTCATACAGACAACCAATGTAGAGCGCACACTACCAATACATCTGTAAAGAAAAAAGATTGATAATAATGGTAGCTGGTGTTATTTCCTATTCAATCTCCATTTAACACCCGCTTGTGATGGACATCATTGTTTTAAATATAAGCCCTTACATGGATCGACCTCTGTAGGCCTATAAAGAGCATTGTACCGGTCTTTAAGAGTTCGACAGTGTCTTCTAGGTAATTTAGATGCTTGGAAAAAACTCATCAAAAAGAAGAAGTGAACCTTTTGATAAATATTGGAGATAATGAATAATGTCATTTAATGAAAGTTCAACAATCACTTGATCATTATGTCACAACAAACTCTTCTCATTTATATCTCTGTCAAGTGACATCTGAAACTGTTCGATGTTGTAAAGTAAAATATTAATACAATGCAATTTGTTAAATCTAGACAATAAATGAAGAGAACAGATACAAATGAGAATATAAAACCTACCTGCAATAGTCGTCTCGCCCATCATTATCCTCATCCTTCATGTACCATGTATTGGAATAACCTGGATCAAACCATTCTACAGAGGGGTTGGGTGAAGTATAGGCGAGTAAATCATCTTCTTCAGATCCAGCGAGAAGACATGAAAGGAATGGCTTTCCATCGGTGCGCACGACCCTATACAAGAAGATTAAGTAAAAATAACTTTTTGCACACGACCCTAAATTATTTAAGTTTAATAACCTTAGTACACAATACCCTACATGGATTCGTGTACCAGAAATTGTTGCCCACTTCTACGCATACCTGTGTATCAATGAGGAAGATATTACAGAGGAGTAATGGTGTACAGTAGTTGAATCACGTGAGCGTCATTTTATGCAATGCTGATATCGAAAGCTTAAAACAATCATGTAGATCTTTTATCAAACTCATATACAAACAAAAAATGTTAATCAATATGTTTGGATTCAATTAGATCTGGACTTACAAAGCCAGTCTATTTTTACAAACCATGTAATGCAACCAGCTAATATAATTAAAAGGGGAGAGACAATTGATGATCACTGATGATGACTTACCTGCAGAAATCGTTAGGGGCGCCCTGGCCCTGTACATCGACCCACCCACGGAACATCTGCACCATTCCCCGGTCTGTGATGGCGTAGGAGCGGCGGAGAAGCTCACCCGTTGTAACATTCGTTACATTCTGCTGTATGGGAACTACTGCAGATGGTGTAGATGAAACGGGTGTTGTAGCCCTGAAGGTAGTTGTCTGAGGGGTAGTGGTTCCCTCGTTTGGCTGCCCGGGGGTCATAGTCGTTGAAACACCTAAAAGACAATGATAAAACATGTGAGTTCTCGATTATATTAGCTGTGTAAGAGTTCATTGACCAATGACGCCCTTCAGCGTCATTTTTATGACCTATAATTATGTCTGCATCAACAAATGGTTCGATCTTTAAAGCGCTATAAAAGGATCCAAGGGACAAAAACTGAAGGTAAAATGAATAGCGTAACAATACTTTGAACTATCGGGGGTATGTGGCATACTAAAGCGTGTCCCCGGTTTGAATAGCGCACACGAGTCGTCATTTCAATTGGGTCATAATCTAGGCCTAATCAAGCCAGAGAAGGAAACATGTGCATGCGCCATTTAAAGGTAAAGACCAGTTATGGTCATGCGATTGCATTGTGAAAGAAACGTTGTGGAGTCGATCAGAAAAGGTTGATCATCTAGCATCTAGCATCTGCAAGGTTCTGGAATCATCAATATGATAAGAAATTTGGCCCATTCTTGGTAAAGTTACAAGCACTATACACAGAAAGATGTATATGGGACTACCATATATCTCTCACAGTCCATGAGAGAAACAAATTTACCAAATATATGAATTAGTAAGCGGTTTCCCGGCAAATTTTTTATCATCATGTATTAGTCAAAACATATTCTTTCACATGATTGGTAATGAGAGCTTCCATTTCATTTTTTGAAATTGGAGCGTTTCCAATACTGGTCTTTACCTTTAAAGGAATGTTTAGAGTTTTAGTTCGTTTTGCAGTCACGCTATGTACGATGTCACATTGGCATGCTGTCTTAAGATACGCGCTAGTCACTCATACAAAAGTTTTGCGTCGATAAATGACTCTTATGGATGTGCAAAACAAGACCTACATCCGCGACTAACTAGTATTTGAGTCGCAGTATGAGTGTGATAGGGTGTAAAACAGATGCAAGCGAATATTGCATGGAAACATATTACTGAAGCCAGGGGGTGGCGGGTTGACTTCCAAAGTGGAGGGGGGGGGGCACCAAGAAAAAAGGCACTTTCTGCAGAAATAAAGGGAAATCTGAAAGCAAAAATGTACAATTTTGTAGACATTGGTACAGTATTATGAATCTACATTGTAATTCAGGCGCACCGGAAGGAGTTTTGGATGGGGGGGGGGGGCAATAATTCAAAGGGGCTTACCTTCCAAGGGCAGTGACGCAATGAGCAAACACGTTAGGAGGGGGGGGGGGCAGAAGAAAAATCTGCATCACCACCACTCTTACACGTTACATGCAGGCCCCGCGGAACGTTTTTCAAAGTGGAGTATTAACGATCAGGTAGAGCGTGAGTTGGCGTAGGGTCCAGGGCATGAGCCCCTGGAAGATCAGAGTTTTTAGGCATTAAATTACGGTCAGATAAGCACATGTAGATACCTTATTTGTGACACTGGCAGGTCACTAATTGGCGGAGAGTCAAGGGCAGAGCTCCCGGAAGCTCATATGTTTTAATATTTAACTACGGTCAGATGAGCATCCAGGGGCCGCCCTTTAATTAGGGCCCTTGGTGCGGTCCAGGGGGCAGAGCCCCCGGAAGCTCAGGGGTTTTAGGTATTTAATTACGGTCAGATGAGCACACAGGGCCCCACCTTAGGGCTCTTTGTGGGGTCCAGCGGGCAGAGACCCCGGGAGCTCGGGGTTTTTAGGTATGTAATTACGGTTAGATGAGCATCCAGGGGACCGCCTTAGGGCCATTGGTGGGGTCTAGAGGGCAGAGCTCCCGTAAGCTCAGGGGTTTTAGGCATTTAATTACGGTCAGATAAGCATATTTTGATACCTCATTTGTGACATTGGCAGGTCACTTATTTTTTTCTTCTCTCTTTCTTTCTTTTTCTCTCTGACATACTTTTTCAAAAAATCCCCGAGCCCAGCCGTTTTGCAAGCCATGACATAAAGGCTTATAAAAAAAACATATTTTTCGCCCGAATGTAAATTTGGGAATATCTAATTTTCTAACAAACGCATAAAAAGGTATGACTTACAAAATAATTGAGAAAATATACCGGAAAATCATGTTATTTCAGCGACATTTGTAAATCACTGGTATCGAAAAAGAAATACCCACCCCCATCAGTACGCCAGCGTTCAGGGGCTCATGTCTTCCTCACCCCTATAACCAAAAAGAGACACGCTTTCTCATTCTCTCACAATATGTCCACGATGTGCGCGTATCGCTATTATAAAAACCTCCATTGATAAATATAGATGGCATGCGCAATGTTTAGGAAATATAATTCCTGCTAAACTTTCCTTTTCTTTGAATGGAATTTTATATGTGATTTAATTCAGGTTCTTTTAATTGTTATGTTCTTTTAGGTTAAAAATAAAAACCATCTTTACTTCTTTACTGCTTTTGTTAAGGGGGAGGGCAGAAATGCATTTTGCCCCCCCCCACGTTTTTGGTGGGGGGAGGGGGCAACTGCCCCCTCCCCCCCTTCCACCCCACTTCCGGCGCCTATATTTTGATTTCATGATCAGGGATGATTTGACTTTTTTTTCTTCTTTTTATTCACCATACAAGATGTTGCTTTAATAAGCATCATACTTTGCAGTTGGGTGTGATATTCTGAAAATTCTTTTAAGAGCGTGGAAAAAATGTTAAGGTCGCCGTGCGAGAAAAAAAATATCACATGAAGAGGAAAAACTAAATCTTGATGGGGTTATAATCATTGAAAAGACCTTTCATAAGTATCATAATTCTATTATCTATAAATGCAAGCGAGTGTAGCGAGCGAGCTTTGTGGGAAATTGCTCTTAGTCGCTTGAAATTATGGGCGCGTTTAATGATGAGAGGACATCGAAATGGATACTTATTTTTAAAAAAAAGGAGCACGACCCCGTGTCAAAGTATCAAAGGGTAATTATCAGAGTTGAAAAATATGGCACTTATTTCACCTACAAAAAGAGGCATTGACCAGGGATGAAAAAAGGGGAACTTAATATGAGAATGGGAAAAAGTTATTGTCGACGGGAAAAGAGCACCCATGAGATTTTGATAGGGGCATTTATGAGAGGTGGAAAGGGGCATTTATATAAAGGGGATAGGTCCCCTATTAAAAAGTAAAAGGCACACGTATCATTGTCAAAAGGAAAATTATCGCACCTGAAAAGGGGCACTGACCAGTTATGAAACGGGGCACTTATAAGAATGAAAAAGGGGCACTTATAATTAAAGAAAATGTGTATTAGTTGAAATATGTTAACAATTTTTCCATTACGACTCTGTAAAAACATTTGAAAATATTGGTTTTTCCCCTCTTATTCTTTTTTGTGTTGTTGTTGCTTTCTTGCTTGACCGAATTGCTACTTTATTTATCTTGATGAACACATACAATAATAACTCTAGTTTTTATTTAATTGTTTTTTAAAACCCTTGCATTAGTTATGTTTTGAATCTCATACCTTCTTCGCATTGCGCTAGGAGGTTCGCTCTAAACCCTTCATATCCTGTGAGGCCGTCACTGGTAAAACGGATGACAACATAGTATGATGTGACGATTAAAGGGGCGGGAATGACGTCACCATAATAGATGCGCTCTCTGCCCTGCGTACTGATGTAAACCTGTATTCAGTAATATTACTCTCTTTATAAAAAACAACAACACAAACTTGATATGTGAAAGTTATGACACGAAATCGGTTCAAAGTGTGAGGTCGCAAGTTGAGAAATGTATGTTTTACCTTCTAAATTAAACCTCGTTTAAGGTGAAACCTTTGACATACATCTATAAGTTTGATTTAGTATAAATATTTCGAATGAAGTAATAAAAAATTAAAAGAAAAGGAATGGTAAAATTACTCCTGCTTCTAAATTGTCTCAAATTTATACGTACCCATTGGAAAAAACCGATTGAGTTTGATATTTCTTATGAAAATTGAATTGGATGTTTGGGTTTTCATGATTCATTTACAATAATTGAAAGGCAAGATGAAAGGCAAGATGAAGAGTTAGTAAATCGATTTATTTCGTATTGTGAACTTATGCTTACCTAACACGAGTTCCTGCGTCAGGCAATAAGCCAGCATTTCCGTATTATGATGGTTTTAAAGTACACTCGTTACCATGGGTAACTTGTATAATTAGCATACTTAACATAATAATTTCTGAAGGAAAATAAACGTTATTTTGAAACAAACTAGATCAATCTTGTTGATATAACATACTTACCTTGTCAAAATATCTTTCCGTTTGGAAAACTTGAAATGTGATGCTGAGTTGACATCGTGGATGCGTTAGATAGATATGCCACGTGATATCTTGTCTGGCAGGATATTTACCATAAGGGTAGTTGGGTGAAGCGATGGAGTACCTGCTACCATCAGAGAGGCTGACGTTACCACCTGTAAAACAAAAGGTTGATTGGAAGTATCTGCATCAAGCATTCTCTTAAGATTCTCTCTCTCTCTCTCTTTCTCTCTCTTGCTACCTCACAAAGGATAGTTGGGGAAGCGATGGAATATTTTGTCACAAGCAGAGGGGCTGATGTTACGACCTAAACAAAATAAGTTGACAAAACTTTAGTATGGATAGCTGAGTGAAGAGATGTAATACGTATCTCCACTCGACATAGTTACGTTGGAACCTATATGAGTAAAAGCATTTCAAACAACTTTATAATAAAGGAGATTTTATTTAAATGCATTTAACATAAATGTATTCGCTAGGGAAAAAGTAATCTTATCTGCCTATATGTTTATCCTAATTACGCAAAGATACGGTGATATTAAGTCATCATTCCGACAGGGAAAGTAAACAAGAAACACAAATCTTCAAATAGCTATGAAACTAAAAGTATTAAGGTCGTAAAGTGGGCATCATCAGTCCGCACTGATATATATATGTCTTCTTTCTCAATACACTAGTGTTCATCTATTAGATCGCGCAGTTATTCCCTATTTTGGGATTATTTTGTGAATGTCAATAAAGCCTAGATTAACTCATGCACATGGATTAGTTTTATATATACAATATCACTAGCGGGCGTAGGTAAAAACACTCTTCATGGAATTCCATCAATGGCACTCACAAAACAATAACTACAAATGTGATGTCTCAAAGATAATAGACTATCCTTCATATGCGTATGCAAAGACTAAATCATTCACAAAATAAACTTTTAACATTCAACTCATTTACACAATAGGAGCATTGAGATATGTAGAAGTACTGTTTTACTTACCGATTACATCAACATACGGCTGAGTATCATTTGTTTCTATAGAGATAAAAATGAGTTGGTTAGAAATGAGCCTTCTCGTATAAGTTGTTATATATATATATATATATATATATATATATATATATATAATTTCAATACGAATGTAATATTATACTTCTTGCTAACTCTCTCAGGAGACGGATCATTATCAAACATGTCAAAATAGTGATCTTCATACTTTTACTTGCCTCATATTTCATGAGACTCGAAATAAATTGATATATAAAACTTCTTCTAGAAGTGTTACTTTATCTGTGTGTGTATATGTGTGCGTGTTTATTTACGCATAGTTATGTATTGATATACAAAACATTCATATGGAAGTTTTACCGTCCAAATCTTAAGAGTTATTATGAAAATGGTAAGAATAGTTTAACCATTTATCCAGGGGTGGTAAAGCGACTTCTAAAGTGTTGGAGGGGGAGGGGGACCAAAAAAAGAAGGGCACTTTCTGAAGAGAAAAAAAGGGCACCTACAAAGAACAATCTCAAAGCGAAAATATCAGTTTTTTTTTTTAACATTGGTATATACCCCTACGACGATTATGTTTTTTCTTTATACATCATAACAGATATTGCTTTTATTAAGCATCATACTTTGCATTTAGGCTTGATGGTCTGAAAATTTATTTGTTAGAGGGCAATGCGAGCTAGGAAAGATTTTAAGATTTATGAAGTCGCAGTGCAAAATATTACATCTTATAAAGAGGACAAACCCGAATCCTGATGGGGTTATAAGCACTTTCTCATATTTGAAGACTGTAAAGACCTTTGGTAAGTATCATACAAATATCATATATAAATGCGAGTGAGCGTAAAAGACTGAAACACCTTTGATAAGTAACATAATAATATCATCATATATAAATGCGAGCGAGCGTAGCGAGCGAGCTTTTTTAGGGAAATTGCTCTTAGTCCTTTGAAATTAGGGGCGCGTTTAATGATGAGAGGAAAAGGGGACAATAATCAAAAGGGATAAGACACTTATTAGAAAAGAAAAAGAGCACGCGTCAAAGTACAAATGGTAATATTCTTACACCTTTGCAATTTGAGTTGGACTAGCGGCACGCTCTCTTAGTCAGCTGTCTGTCTTCGCCTACAATCTGGCTCAGACGACCTCGATTCGAAACTGAGCCACGCCTTTCGGATGGTGACGTTAAAGGCCGCTCCCATGACGTAAATTATCATATATGATTGATACACGTCTGTAAAAACCCAATTACACGCACATACACACAGACACACCTACAAGAAGAGCGCTAAGAGACTTCGGTGATAAGCGCTTTATAAGCGCCGTTTGTATTAGAATTATTATTATTAATAAGAGGCACTCAACAGAGATAATAAAAGGCACTTACATGTAGGAGAATGGGAAATAGGCATTTGTCGACAGAAAAGGGGCACCCATTAAATTTTAATAGGGGCATTTATGAGAGGTGGAAAGAGACATTTATGAAAAGAGGATAGTTTCCTTATTAGAAAAGTGGCACGTATCAATTTTAAAAGTGAAAATATCAGAGGTGAGAAAGGGCACTTATCGCACCTGAAAATGGGCACTGAACAGATATGAAATAGGCACTTATAATAAAGAAAATTATGCATTAGTTGAAAAAAAGTGGCACCGATCGGGTTTTAATAGAAGCATTTATCGGAGGTGAAAGGGGGCTTTAATGAAAAGGGGATAGTGGGATTTTATGAAAAGCGGAAAATGGCTCTTATTATGAAGAAAACGAGGCACATGTTAGAATAAACAGGGAACTTTCATTAGAGATGAAAAGGGGTCACTATGAGAAAAGGAAGGGGCACTTATAAGAAGGAAAAAGAGCATTTATTCAAAAAGTACCTAAGAGGATACTGAAGATAAAAAAGGGCACATATGAGAATGGAGAATGGACCCTTAGCTCTTAACCAGTTCGGTTTTAAAGCCAAACATGGCACTGACATGTGCGTATTTGAAAGTTTTTATTGCAAGTTATCGTAGGGGAGGGGGGGGGGGGGGTAGTGAGCACTATTTTTGTTTTTTGTTTTTTTTTGTTTTGGGGGGGGGGGCCTCGCAAATTTAAAAATTTGCACCCCCCCCCCCTCGAGCGCCAGGGAGGGGGGGGGGGCGGTTCGTCTTCAGAAAAAGGTAAAATTAACGTTAACAAATGTAAAAATACACTTTTTTCCAGGGGGAGGAGGGGGCCTGGGCCCCTCGCCCCCCTGGATCTGCCACTGTTCCTAAGAACCTGATTAGGATACTCGTGTTTTGGTAAACCCATCAAACAATGATGGCTAGATGGGAAAGTAGTGTGTCTGAACCATTCCATGTCAGTGGTTTTAGACAGGTAAGTATTCTTTCTCCCTTTCTCTTTAACCTATCATGGATGGTCTTTCCGACAATTTGAATGCTTGTAAAAAAAGGCTGTATAGTTGGCAGTATAGTAGTCAATCATTTAATGTATGCAGATGACCTCGTTATTATTAGCCCGTCAACTGCTGGGTTGCAGAGTTTGCTCAAGGTTTGTTCTGATTATGGATATGATAATGATGTCAAATATAATGAAAAAAAGAGTCATGTTATGATAATTAGATGTAAGGAACACCGTAGATTGGTATTCCCGGATTTTTATTTATGTGGAGCTAAACTCAATGAGTGTACAGAGGTCATGTATCTTGGTCATTTCTTTACTGAGGACCTTTGTGATGATAAAGATATTAGTCGACAGTGTCGTAAATTATATGCTCAAGGTAATATGCTCGTTAGGCAATTTCATATGTGTTCTCCGGATGTGAAGGTGGCATTATTTAGGGCATACTGTACACCTTTGTATACTGCGCATCTGTGGAGTAAATTTAAGAAGAGCAGTTTGCACAGGCTTACTGTGGCCTATAATGATGCCATAAGAATGCTTCTTAGGGTACCTAGATACTTTAGTGCCAGTCAAATGTTTGCTGAGTTGAATGTTCCAGTCTGTTCGGCTGTATAACGTAATCTCATGTATAAGTTCATCCAGAGAGTGGATGTCTCTGAGAATGGTATTGTAAAGGTATTAGTGAGCCCCACGTATAGTTGCCTTAGGTACACATCGGGCCTCTGGAAATTTTGGCTTAATAGCCTGCTGACACCTCGGAATTGATCATATTTTGCATTATGTTACCAAGGATTATCCAGCCTCTCATGGTTGCAGTACAGTCCTTAGTCCGTGTTGCTTGTTATAACATCTAGTTATCTATTATTAGTATTGACTTTAGGCATTCTATCCAATCGCATCATGCTTTGTTATACTGTATATAACAGTCACGTATACCGCGACAATCCAAGTTAATATTATAATAGGTGACTAGCTATAATTTTACAACCCGGTCGAATTTCAATCATGGTAGATTACTCTAGAACATTATATCGTCTGTTTAGAGCAAGAAAAGTTCAACAAATACATTTACACAGCGGCCCTTCGAGCTCTGAACAGACGATATCATTGTATCGTATCTGATCGATTACCTGATTCACAGTCAGCGTATAGATGAGCTTTGAATCCTAAGGTGATATCAGAGCCATAGTACGATCTGCTGCTGAACCGAATGAGAACATAGGCTGAAGTGAAGGTTATTGGTTCCGGTATGACGTCACCATATAAGGTAGCACGAACGGTGTCTAATGAAGCAGATGGACTGATCTGAAGCTATGTGAATGAATGAAGAGGTTGTAAAGAAAAAGGTTAAATAAATGGATCCCATTCGCAATAATTAGTATAACTACATTCCAAGAGCTTAAGTAAGTGCGATTTACCTTCGCTCTAAAGAGTTCTTAACTTAACCACATAGTAAAAAAAAAAGTCTTCAACATTTTGATTAAAATAATACGGTTTAGGAAAGGGCAGGGGATGATGCCCCCATTTACACAAAAAAGCGATTATTGGTAAGCAGCGCCCATCCAGACATAAAATGAAACCCCATCCCCCAATATCCTTTCCCTTTCTTTATCTCTCAAATCATGAAGTTTTTAGAAGATATTATAGCCTATCTGCACTAGTTTGGCCAGGAGGGATTAGACCTCCCTGCGTGGTCACTGGCAGGTATCTATCTCATCAAATCAACTCTCAATTAACATAAGAAAAAGGGGACCATGGGGAATCGACAGGTACTGCTTAGGCATTGTTGGCTATATAGATGGGCGCAATTAGCTACAAGTACTGCAGTCCCGCTTAACATAGCCAAATGTCTTCCTGATATTTAAATTCAAACCAAAAAAATACACTCAGACTACTAATTCAGTCCATGATGAAAGACTCGGTTTAGGAAGAGGGCATAAGAGAATCTTTCAGGCCGGTGCACCCCCTTCCCGTTCCGCCCTTCCATACCAAGACTCACGCTACGACATTGCCCCAGATAACCATTCAGTAAAACGCAGGATGAATGAATAGTAAGATCGTTTACCATGTTATCTACCGATGTTGTTGTAAAATTGTCAAAATCGATGGTAAGTTGACAATCAGGTTGAGGGAGTTTGATAAGCCAGATTGTACTCGTGTAAGTAGGATGGTTCTGAGGGAAGTTAGGTGAAGCTATGGTATAGGAATCCCCGTTTGATAGTGATACACCAGAGCCTGGATAAAAGAATGAGACATACGTTAGCTTTCTACAATGATTTGTTGTAAAGGTCTTTCACAAAAAAGAAGGAAACCTTTAGTTTCATGCATGTGTCATCATATTATTAGCGTTGATCTCTCAGTGTTTCGACTGTTTCTTTTTTTAAGAGGCCATGTACAAATTGAATATAACTGTTTTATCAGTTTTACTGTAGGTCTATCTTATTACTTCTTTCATTGCGTCTATCGGTTGAATACTTTCTTAAAGCCCCTCTGCACATGTATGGCATGGAGGGATAAGACATCCCTGCGAGGTCAATTGCAGGTGGTTATCTCATCAAATAAGCTCTCAATTAACATAAGAAAAAGGGCATCATGGGGGATCAATGGGTACCGCTTAGGCATTTTCGGCTGTATAGAGGGCGCAAGTAGCTATAAGTAGTGCAGTAGGGATTTAATTTAACAGTTGAGCGTCTTCAGCAAATTTTTTATCCAGATTCTTATTAATAAGGTTTGATTTATTACAAGTCGCTGGTTCACACAACAATTTTTACTGCATACGAATCAACTTTAATAGATTAATTTCTAGATATGTAAGAACTAAATATCCTGGGAAATAAAGCTTGATAATCTGTATATTTACCTCTCGTGTCAATGTATGACTGGGCGTTTACATCTGAGAGAAAAATTAGGAAAGAAGTAAAGAGTTACGTTGGTTTGTGATGCCAAGAAAAAAGGTATATCAGTCAACTGTAATTCAAATACAAATTTAATTTAAACTATGACGCAGAAAATTCCTTCTATTAAAGCAACTACGTGTTATTTTATACCTAATCATTAAGGGATAGTTGAGTTCTGTTTTCAAACAGCAAATGCCTTCAAAGTGCATGGTCATTGCTCTTGTTCTTATCTATGACATTTCTAGTGCCCTTTAGGAACCTAAAATTGCTATGAAGGGAATTTTAAACCCCAAAATGTGTGAAATTTAGCCAATCCAATCATACCAATTCAGCTCCACTTTAAAGAAAACACCTTGACCGTTAATTAATTATTTGATTAAAAATAACAATACATGGGCCGGCTGGTTGTGCGTAATAATTATAAGCAACACAAAAAGCCAACATCGGCATTGGCATAAATACGACGTAAAATGCGTTATTTCGTTTTTTTCAACGGTTTTTTTTTCAAATTTGTCAAAATATCTAATATTTGTGGTGGTACACATGTGGCCATATGGCGCTCTAGCATTTCAAACCAGTATATTAACATACCTTGATCACACGTAGGCCTTAGAACGGCACTGAATCCAGATGATGCAGGAATCTTGTGGTCGTTTGGTCTAAACCACATCCACACAACGTTTGAATCTATTTCGAACCACGTCGGGATGTTCGCCTCAGTTCCAGTCAAGTTCCAAATCTATAATGGACCAATAACACGATAGCAATTACTGTACCTTAGGCAATATCAATAGAGAAAAACAAGAACAAAGGTTGAAAAGTAAAGATGAGGAAACAAAATTGCCAGAAGAACATTGTACTTAGTTTTTCGTTTCCGAAAATAGGATAATTTCACAGAAAACAGTGACACATACATTAGACTACACTGCATCATTAATACGAGAATTGTTGTTATTTTTTTTAATTACTTTTCTTTCCCTCCTGTACCTGACTACCATTTTGCCAATAACTTGATGTTTTAACGAACTGTGTGGGGTCAAATAAAAAAAAAAACCAACCCCACACAATTAAACCCCCACGGGATTTTTAATACTTCAGGTAGAGTGTTAAGTACGCTTTCCAATGATACTGTGTAATGGTACGGCACTGCGTGATTGCATTCAGATATTTTTTTAGTTGAACATTATTTGTATCCCTACCATGGGTGTCGATCTGTCACTGATACATATTCATCAGGGGGGATGATCTATTCATTCATCCCCCCCCTGATGAATAGGTATTACGTAAGTATCGACACCCATGATCCCTACACATTGTTATACATTTTCACTATCTACCTGGAAAAAGAAATAAACAAATAAGTTTATTTACATGATTTGTAGATATATTGTATCCTGATCCGATCTCCAGAACATCTCCGGGTACCGTCGCTGTAAGGCCACGAAATTCAATCCGGACAGTACAGTTCTGCGGAGCTTTGACAATCCAGGTATAGGAACCTACTACGTCCCCAAAATATGCCCATATATATTGAGGTGTCTTGACGAACAACGAATCGCCACGTCCCAGTTCGACCAGGTTTTCTGTAACAACAAATAAAATAACGTCTTCCTTCAAAGGATCCGGTAAATTTGTCTCAGATTCTGAAACAAAATCAAGGATTTAGCTCTACTGCAATGATAATTATAAACCTTTAGGTCAGTCAGGAACTTCTTTACTTTTACAAGCCGATCGCCTGTCTGATTATCAAGATATTTTTGACAAATTTTGAAAACCGTTTGCCAAGCGGTTTTCATAACACTACAGTCTACTGGGTAACACAGGTATGGTAAAACCGGTCACTCAAAGATTTTTTTTTTTTTACCTCTAATGTGTGTGGGTGTATGTGTGTGTGTGTGTGGGGGGGGGGGTGGGCTCCCAGCACTCAGAGTGGTTTTAAGTCTCACATTGCTGGTTAATTCATCCATCCTACCAAACCAGAATATTCGCCGAAATGCCTCTTTTATTTTTTATATATTATGTAATTTGTAACTGTTTCCCCCAATTTTTAAATATTGCAAATTAGGCCCACCTTGTACAGTAAGAGCTGTTGTATAGTTGACTGCAGCAGCTAAGTTACTTGCTTCACATGTGTAGCGACCATCATGTACAATAGAAGCATCAGCTATCACTACGGAGCTAGAGAAAGCACCATTTACAAACTCAACTCCAACTCCAAGAGGAATAACATCTCCATCTTTTAGCCAGCGGAAGTGAATAGGGAGGTCACCGAGTATTACAGTACACATAACACGAGTCGGTTGACCTCGTAGAACGGTGAGGGGTTCGATTGGTTGAATGACCGGAGAAACTATGTGGAGGAAAGAAGCTTTTACCCTTAAAATGTAAACTTCATCAAAACAATACTATGTTTTGGTTACATGTATTAATCCTGAAAAAGGGGTCCTGGATTTGGTGGAAACATATTTAGTATAAATATCATTTATGTATTAAACGTATATTGTTATTATTAATTAATCAATTCATTAACGGTGACCATATTTTTGTTTAAAGTGGGGCTGAATTAGTATAATCGTATTGGATAAATTTCATACATTGGGGTCTATACTTATCTTCATAGCAATTTAAGGTCGTACAAGAGCACCAGCAAATACGAATAAGAGCAATAACCATGTACTTTGAAGGCATTTACGGTTTGAAACGAGAACTCAACCATCCCTTTAAATCAAGCACTGTTGAATCATTAAGGGTCAAACATAACAAATGTCTTTTAGATCCAGAGCATTGCTTTCAGGAGATCTGAATGGGTAAGGGGTGTTCGGTTAAAGATAAAGGTGAGTTTTGTTTTTTTTTAAACAAAGGGAAAAAAAATTCTCACAGAATCTAACGAAACTTACACTGAATGGCTCAATATTACAAATAAAAGTCATACAGTGCCAAACAATTTTAGTAGAAAATGTATACTGGCTGAGTAATGACCATAGAAAGATTAGTAAATCAAGGTTAGTAGCCCTGACACTATTTGTGTAGTCCCATATAAATATGTCTGTGTACATTGCTTGTTACTTTACCACGACTGGGCCAAATGTATTATGATTCTGATGACTTCAGAACTTTGCAGTACACACCAATACTTACATTCTACATGATCAACTGTTTCTGATACATTCCACACCTTTTCTTTCACAATGCAATCGGATGACCAGAACTCACCTCTATCATTAAGCTTCATACCTCTTTTATGTGTGAACTATCTAGATGGTCAGTTCTAAATCATGTAAATCAACGGGTTCGTATAAATAGGCTTGACGGGTTACGCTTTTGGGACAGGCTTCATTCTACTAAGAATGAAGCTTGAAACGAAATAATCCAGCATAAACTTACTTGTTGAAGGTGTCTCTGTAGTAATGACTTTGAGAAGACAAAGGAAGAGAGAGAGAAGAAAAAAAAAGGGCGAGCATTAGTGTCGTCGTTATTTTTGTTTAACTATACAAACATGTTTGAGATGTCTAAAGATTTTTTAAAAAATGGAATAATTTGCATATAAATTAATAACTTAAAAATTGAAACTCTCATCAAACTTAAATTACAAGAAGGCTTTTGATTTTTATTAGATAAATGCTTACCTTAGAAACACAACAAACAAACATTCTAGGACCTTATCAGTTATCAATTATGATGACAACACCTCCACCGTCCCTTACAAATAAAATACCAACTGTCCCAGAATTGCCGCCGGAATGGTTGGTACTATAGTTCAGAGTTAGCCCCGACACCAACACAGATTGTTTATACTTACTGTCACATATAGGAGAGATATCAGCTTGAAATCCTCTAGACGTGCCACTAAAACCGCTGTCGAATTTAACGATTGTCACCGTGGAATTGATGAAGCTTGGTTCGGGTATGGCGTCACCATTAAACTCACTGACCACAGATTCCGGTGTCCTGATTGTAACCTAAAACGTGAAATTGAAAATTACTCGCAACCATTCATACAGAACATGGCCACTAAGATTCTCTTAATATTTGGCGGTGCCCCACAAATATTCGATAATTTGAACCAGCCGTTGAAAAAACAAAAGAGCGCCTTATACGTTTTACTCCAACCAAGGCCGATGTTGGATTTTTGTTGGCTTTTTCGTGTTGGTTGTAATAAGCACATCCAGTCGGCTCGTGTATTGTTATTATTAATTAATTAGTTAATTAACGGTCACCGTATTTTTTTTTTAAGTCGAGCTGAATTAGTACAATCGTATTGGCTAAAGATCACAAATTTTGGTGTAAAAAATTACTTTCATAGCAATTTTAGGTCCTAAAAGAGCACCAGAAATGTCATAAATAAGAATAAGAGCAATAACCATGTACTTTGAAGGCATTTGCGGTCTGAAACAAGAACTCAACTATCCCTTTAAGTCAATCTAAGGCAGCGTGTCCAATTACAAATGTGGATTAATATCTTGCTAAAGGACGTTTGTGCCGGGCTTGCATTTAAACCCTCAACCCTTGGATTTGGGGGCAAGTGAATGAACCGCTATACCACGAGACCTTCAAAATCGTGTTACAATGCTAGTAACTGTCAAACCGACAATTACCGACTAACATATTATATGACTTTATTTCTAAATCATGTACAACATTTTTTTAAACATTCTTTGCTCAACTCTGGTTATTCATGCTCAGTTTGTTTTGGACAAAACGTTATCAAAATTGTGCGTGCGATTGCATAACATTGTAACTACTCTTCCGTTAGCCGCATTCCGATTTCTTTTCAACGTTGTGCATATTTGTTTCCTTCATGTAAATTGAGAGCTTTGGTACTGCCAATGAAACAAACCACTTCCAATTGTCACCATGCCAGAAACACTTGTCGGGCTTTTACACAAACATATTGTGTAAGAGCCTGGAACCTTCTACTTATGTATCAAGAGAGGCTGCACTCCATACAGTCATTCATGTGATGCAGCCTCCTGTCCGATCCCAAATGCAATAAACACAGAGGCAAACGCTCGGTGCAGACTCAGACGCTCGGTGCACACTCAGACGCGCGATGGCTCAGTGGTAAAACAATGGCAGAGCTCATTGGTAGAGTAGTGGCCTCTTAACCGCTCGTGCTCTTTGGTAAAAAAAAAAGTTATCATTCCCAAGTCCCTCAGAAAGGACTTAACGCCGTCGTTCTATTTGTTGGTTACTTACAAGCATACATTAAAGCAGTCAGGTAAAACAAACAAACGAACAAACGAAGACTCATTTGAATCTACATAATTATGTGATAGAGCTATCGTTTACCATGGCATCTCAAACTGACGGACATCATGTCCTCATCCCCAAGAAGCTTCTAGGAGCTGCTGAAAGGGAATATCATTTCAAGGTTTCAAGGAATCATAAATAAAAAGATAAGTTTAATGAAATCGAATCAAACCTTGTCATCAGTGCCGTCTGTTTGGAAGTCATTCATAACGATATTAAGCTGACAGTTATCTGGTATCCTGAACATCCATGCTATGTGTTGTTGGTTCCCATAATCATTTGGATAGTTGGGTGATGATATGGAATAAATATCACCGTTAGACAGTGCTACAGCAGTGCCTGAATACATTGAGGGAAAACGTATTATTAAAGGTAATACAAAGTTTTGGTATGTGGTCATGAATTTGGTTCAAATGAAAATAATGGAAGCAAATGCGATTCTACAATATTAACTGATCGTTGTCGCGGTTGAAAACGAGTCTAAAGTTTTGAAATTGTAAATAATAAACTCTTTATGCTGTATAGCTCCCTCTCAAGGTCAAGATATTAATTAAGCTATAAGACAGTGTTTCTTGACTAAAATCGACCGATTAGCTCTTCCCTTTCGTAAATTATATATCACAACTACATATTATGAGATTTTCATGGTCGCAGCTAATATTGTATGGCCGTATAGGCGCTAATGGCAATTTATCAAAATTTACCGGGAGCACCGGTAAATTTGTATATTCAATTTTTCTCGAAAGCAGAAGTGTTTTAGGGCCTAATTTTTCTAGTGCTTATAAAACATCCACAGGGGCATCCAAATATATCAAAATGGCAAAGAATCACTATCCACCCAATTTATAAATTTCCCAAAACTTTGTATTACCTTTAATGTGTGTCAACGGAAATTGGAGGTGAGATAATGCATCGTAGGGCCAGACAATTATCAGGGCTATGCGGTAAGCCTAGCCGACTGGTGTTTAATTGGCAGAGTATTAATGCATTCAAATTAATGGATACTTCTGCGACATGTAGCTAGTAATGAAATATCTAAGTCGTCTATTACTATCTGTAAAAGAGAAGGCAGGTGACATACATGGTATATAACGCTAGGTTGGATAAACCTCTGGCAAGCTTTTACCTTCAAGGCAAGCGTATGAAATCCAAATATATAACAAAGGTTTACAGCGTGCACTTACCTCTCGTATCAAAACTATGCTCGATCGCGGCATCTGTACAAAGACAAGAACAAGAAAACCTTATCAGTCAAAGAGTATTTGGAATATAAATGCATATATAAGGCTTATATCAGCTTTCAAGCTATGCCGATAACCAACTACATACTGTTCTAACAAGGAGGATTGGAAGTTGCTCTATAGCCTTGATGCCACCAGTTGACACCTATCTTCATACAGTGGATAAGGACGACTAATGTTAGGTTTAAAACTAATGACAAAGATTATCTTGGTATCTTCATAAGAAGACTTCACAATTACCTCTAAAGCAATAATCAAATAATTAAAACCTATATGACACCCAATGACGGTGGCTGACTTACCGGGGAGGGGTGCGAGCAGAGGCACGTCCCCTTCACTATGAAGGTCAAGAAGGGTGGGGATAGAGAGGAGAAGGGACAGACAATGTAAGGAAAGGATAACTCGACCCTCCCCTGATAAATTGCTTAATTATGTACCAAATATTTACGTTGCCCCCCCCCCGCCTCCCAATTGCGCCAGTGCCCCTTCATGGCACTACTGACGCTACGCCAGTGCTACAAGAGACTAACCATTTCTACAAGTAGATGTGACGTGAGCATCGAAGCCGTGATGTCTGGAGCTATCATCCTGATCTGATGTGAATCTAACCCAAGCCAGGTTAGACTTTACCTCAAGGTATCTCGGCACCGAGTTTCCAGACAAGAAAAACAGCTGAAAAATATAATGTAAAGAGATATATTAAATCGTTTCAATCTCACAAATGAACAATTTCAAGCCCCAAAATATTCAAAAGCCAGTTGCACACGTGACATCATTTCGATATCGTTATTGAACGTGCAGGAATTAAGATTAGGAAGGTAGTTAGTGCATGCATCGGGAGTCCAATGAAAAAGTTTGCAATCTTCATTTCACTCTATGTACCATTTGTCTCCACATGATATCGAACATGTTAAGGAACTCTTAGTGAAATGTATACAATATACTGTATGCATGAATCTTATGAAATATTCCTAATTTAAACAAATTGTGCTGTCAAATAGTTAAAAGAAATATAAGATCACTTATAATTGTTTTTAAAGCATGTTCGAAAGTGGCTTTTTCCAACACCCATCCCATCGCAATGTGTTTGATGTGAACCTACTTCATCAGCAGACATATTATATCCCTTTCCGATATGAAGACCATCTTGGTTGAGTTGTGTAGCGAATCGAACGATTTCTACGAGAATGTCACAGCTTTGTGGAACCTTTATCACCCAAGACTCGTCACTATCTGTCGGGTAATAGAGAGGATAGTTCGACGTCTTCAGCCGATATGTCTCATTGCGCTTCAAGTCTAGGTGGTATCCTAAAACAAAACAAAAAATGGATGAACAGATGAATAATAAAAGAACAATAATAAGAACAAAATATTCATCTCGTGTACTGCGAGATGGCATATTTATTCGTCTGCATCTGAAATGTTTTATTAATCCGACTCAGTTCTACGTGAAATTCTACGACAAAATCAATTTCTAAGGTCTTATGACCAGAGTGCTGTGAGGGGGTCATGCTTTTATCTTGCCCATTTTACTTATTATAATTTGAATATAACTCATTCGATGCTGTGGTCTAGATAAACGTAAGTCAATAAAAAAACTATCAATCAATCAATTAACCGATCAATCAATTAACCAACCTGGTTCGCAATCTGCTGTGACGTTAGCCATAAAACCACGAGCCGTGGGCGATGTTTCCGATGATATAAACTGAACATAAGCGTGGGTCGAAGAGTCTTCTGATTGCACCAGGAAAGGATAGTTCAGCAGTACGCCCCTTCCTGAAAATGTTTCTTTGACTCTAACACCCTGTGTACCAATAATCACCTGAAGAACAGCAACAAAGAGAATATAATGATTGATTTCTGGAATGGGGTCTAATTAAAGCTTCCTTGATGAGTAGGCGATAAGACGTACCTTCACCCACATCTACACCCGCCCACAGGCACACAAGCTGGGGAAAAAGTAAATTACATTAGGCTCATCAACTTTGTCAGGTTTGTTTGAGATGTTAAATGATCAACAACCTACAAATTCCGATGGGCATTGTTTAGTGTTTAGTGCCCCCTACACAAACTCAACGCACACATACACAGACGCACACACGCACATACACACGCACACGCACGCACAAACAAACACATCCACCCACCCCCCCCCCCACCCACACCCACACACACTCGCATAAACAAACACATCCACCCCCACACACACACACGCACAACACACAAATAGACATGAACGCACTCATATACACTACTCTCATGCCCCATCCTCTTTTTTCTCCATCTGAACTACATTTGAACATACTATCGACTGACAGACACTCAATGAACCGTGCTTTGATGGGACATTGTTTTGTTTGTCATTATATTTTCATCAATTATGATCAGAGAAATTTCTAAAATTCCTAGTAAACTTCCTAAAATCTATTAGTAAAGATAAAGTAAATGGTATGAAATTAACGAAAAGCTCTCATTTAGTTCCCAGTTGATTTTCGCTTCTACTTCATCATTTCAAATTACTCCGATAAGTACAATGCAATTTTGTATTATTCAAAGATATTCTTTAATGTGATGTAGAACAAATTTGGTATATCGCAGATCAAATGCTATTTAACTATTACCTGATCATTATCTTGTTCAGTTTCAAAGTCTAAGAAGGTGACATAGATTCTGCACTCTTGTGGGTTTGGTAGCTGAAAGGCCCATGTTAATCTTGTATTTGGAGGAAAGTTGTTTGGATAGTTCGGTGAAGCGATCTGATACGTTTCTCCATCCAATGCCTGAAATCCAGAACCTAAGAAATTAATCAAATTAGACGTGAAGAGATCCAACATTATTAGAGGTATGGAGAATCCTAGTATAATTATACACCAGTTAACGTAATAATAATAATAGTAATAATAATTTTAAACAAATCATTAATATAATAATGATATTAATATTAATAATCATAATAACAATAATAATAATAATAATAATAATAATGATGATAATAATAATAATAATAATAATAATAATAGTAATAAGTTCCCACTATAGTGCTAATGTCTGAACAATTGAGACTCCTGACACTCTACAATGAAGTAAATGTAATATTACAACTATAACTATATTCCAGCGTGTATATCTTTATTACCTTACTTTTTAGCAAAACTTTTAATTTCATGATTAGAGTATTAATTTATGAACTTATGCAGGTATTTCTCATGACTGTTTTCAAGCTAAAGACCAGTTATGGTCATGCGATTGCATTGTGAAAGAAACGTTGTGGAATCGATCAGAAAAGGTTGATCATCTAGCATCTAGCATCTGCAAGGTTCTGGAATCATCAAAATGATAAGAAATTTGGCCCATTCTTTGTAAAGTTACAAGCACTACACACAGAAAGATGTATATGGGACTAACCTATATCTCTCACAGTCCATGAGAGAAACAAATTTACCAAATATATGAATAAGTAGGCGGTTTCCCTGCAAATTTTGTTATCATCATGTATTAGTCAAAACATATTCTTTCACATGATTGGTAATGAGAGCTTCCATTTCATTTTTTGAAATTGGTGCGTTTCCAATACTGGTCTTTACCTTTAAGGACGAGCAGGAAATGTTTCAGGAAATGTCCTTGGTGTATAAGGTATAAATATCAATTTGAGGATTATGTATCTGGCAACGATTTCCTCACTTAACTGAAAAGTGAGGTGTTCTATTTTCTCAATTGGTATTTTTTCCAGGGGCGAGCAAATAATCCTTTGTGCTTTTTATATAGGCCAATGTTGATAAGTACAAAAAAACAATTACATTTCAAGAACTTACCCACCGTGTCGACTGTTGTATTATCTACGAAACAAACGTAAATATAGTATTATAAATTCAGGATTTTAGTAGCATTCCTTGGCCTAATAATTAATATATTACGCCAATCAATGCGTAGACTTTAACTTAAAAATTAAAATTAAAAAAGAGGGACATTGCACCAAAGCATGTAGACCTATTTTAATGTCGGTAAAATTGATTAATCTTGATCTCCGGAATGACATTGCAGTTTGGGTGGAACTGGTTTGCATCCATTGGGGGTAGTGAAGACTGTATGAACCACTAGATAACAAATTCGGAAAATTTTACCCAAAACCTATTGAAACATGTGTTAAATATAATACACGCATCTCAGTGAGTCGTCGGCGAACTTGGAATCATGACAGTTTAATGAAACACTGCCCAAGTCAAAGGAAAATCACAACTCCAAATTTACATGTCACATGGAGTGAGTGCAGCGCTCATTGAATATTTTGTTTCATGAAATGTTTTATTTCTTCACGAGAAGTAGTACAAATCAAAACAAAGTAAATACAAATGACATGATCCAGAAGTTCTTTGGAAAATGAAATTGTAATTTACAAAGGTACTGATTAGGAGGACGGGGGTGGAAGGTGGTGATAGGTATCTAGTATCGTCCCCACCCCCCACTCTCCTTCCCGTTCCTCTCTTTTCTCGGGGTTTTCCCCTTGTTTTCTTCTTTTCGGGGTATGTGCATGTGACCTCGTGCCCCTTCCCTGTAGCTACGTCACTGTATAAGTATGTTACCTTGACTGCATTGAGGTGTGATGCTAGCTCTGAATCCACGATATCCTGCAAAATCTGATGTGCTAAACCTGATCCATACTGCAGAGAAATTCATCCTGATCTGAGATGGTATGGTACTCCCAAATAAAGCCCATGTCTATATTATTAGGAAGAACATGAAATGAAATATTTGTTATACTATGAAATAAAGGTGTGTGCAGAATCGTAGTTGAAGTGACCCGGTTTATATTTAACATGAAATCTGTCGGTCACGTTTAGGCGAAATATAAGAAACAGTTATTATCATCAGCACTTGTATTCCTCTTAATATCATCCTTCTTATTATTATCATTATTTTTATGTTTATCAGTATTATTATCATTTTCATTATCAGTATTATTATCATTTTAATTATCATTATCCATATTATTAATATTATTATTACTATTATGTGTATCATTATCATCAAGATCTTCATTATTGTTACTAGGTTTACTATTATTTATGTTATACATGTATATATGGTAAGGATGATTGAACGGAACATTTTGAATACAGTAATGACGGTTCTTACCGGATATTTTGATTTCTTCGTTCCATTTCCAATATACAAAAAATCCTGTCTAAACTGTGTTGTGAAGTACTCGAATACGATGAGAACATCACATGATTCAGGGACTTTCACTTTCCACAATATATCCAGATTGTCATCATAATTACCGAAGCGGTTAGTTGCCGTTTCGATGGTGAAAGATTCCCCTTCATCAAGCGTTACTTTACCACCTAGAAACATGTTCAACATAATCACACCAACAATTAGTCATGGAAACTTATCTCATTGTATTGTGATTCGCGCTTTTTTCATTCCACATTGATGACGGTAGAATAGTAATAGATATACATTAAGATATAAACAACCACTCTGACAACGATAATAATGATAATATTGATGATGATAATCAGAATAAGAATTTTAATAATAATAAAAATAACAATTATTTTAGCAATAGTGATAACAATAATGATACAATTAATGATAATAGTAATAGTAGAATTCAGACCTTTGGAAACTTGGAATATTAGTAGTAGTATCAGTATTAGTATTATAGTATTAAAAGTATAATTAATAGTAGCTGTTGTAGTAGTAGTAGTAGTAGTAGTAGTAGTAGTAGTAGTAGTAGTAGTAGTAGTAGTGGTAGTAGTAGTAGTAGTGTAGTAGTAGTAGTAGTAGTAGTAGTTGTTGTTGTAGTATAGTATTATAAGTAGTAGTAATAATAGTAGTAGTAGAAGTAGTAGTAGCAGTATTTGTTTTGTATAATAATAGTAGAAGTGGTATTATAGTAGTAGTAGTAGTAGTAGTAGTAACATTATTATTAGTAGTAGTAGTATTATAGTAGAGATAGTATTAGAAGTATTAAAGTAGAAGTAGAAGTATAGTAGTAGTATTTGTTTTTGTATGTTAATTGTAGTAGGCCTATTAGTAGAAGTGGTATTACAGTAGTAGTAGTAGTAGTAGTAGTAGTAGTAGTAGAAGTAGTAGTAGTAGTATTAGTACTTCGTAGAAGTAGTAACAGTAATAGTGGTAGAAGAAGTAGTAGTAGTAGTAGTAGTAGTAGTAGTAGTAGTAGTAATAGTATTATTATTAAGTAGTAGTAGGGGAAAATAAGTAGTAATAGCAGTATACTTTCATAAATAACAGTAGCACAAGCGCTTCTGTCACAATATCCATCAAGTTTGATTCTTATGATGTCTATAATAAAATTCAAAATTCAAAATTCGAACGTATCCCGAAAGGCTTTTTCTGAGGTCGGGTTCATGCATTGCTCTTTACATGCTCGACCTAAAAAGTTTGAAAAGCTTGGAATAAACGGAAGCAGTATCAAATGAAATGACAGTCATTACCTGTCTGACTTCCGGCAGACGCAGCCTTGGTTCCAGACGTTAGTCCTAATTGAAATAAAACATCAGATTATTTTACGTTATCAAAATGATTGATTAGTTGGCGCAATGGCTCGTAACCGGGAGGTCTCGGATTCGAAACCAGGTCGATGCGCCAGCGCTCTTTGGTAAGGTATTAAACCTCCTTACCGAATCCCCCTGGGAGGACTTGAAATCGTCCGCCCCTTGGTTGCTTACTTACAAGCACAAACATACTTTTTTAGAAGTCAGGTAAAACAAACTAATCGTAATATCCTCTCTGCATAATAATGAAGATAATAGACCAGTGGGCCTTTTGGACGGCCAGTGGGAGCCGTAGGGGGCAGCTGATTCTACTGGCACCAGAAGTGATTCCTGACATACTGCTAAAAGTGCTGAATGTAAATTCCTACTCCTTTGCATTGAAAGAGTCGTCCTCATAAGATTTAATAACACTTACTTAAATTTTAAACTATATTTCACATTTCAAAATACTATAGTTACTGTAGACGAATTCCTGGATTGGAAAACCCACATTAAAGATGTAACTTTGAAAGTATCTATTGGGGTATTATCAAAATTATATTTAACCGTTCCCCGAAATGTGCTAATGTTATTATACAACTCAATAGTATTACCCCATTTGTCTTACTGAAATAAAGTGTGGGGAAATTCATATTCGTCTCATCGAAAACAAATGAAAATACTTGAAAAGAAGGCGATTCGAATTTCAACATATTCAACGTATTGTTCTCATACGAAAGTATGATTTAGCAGAAAAATAATAATAATAATAATAATAATAATAATAATAATAATAATAATAATAATAATTAAAAAAAATAAAAATAATAATAATAATTAGGTTTTATATAGCGCTTAATACAAAAGTCTTTTAGCGCTTTAAAAATATACTATTACCCCGGTCATTGGATTCAGTGCTTACCCGCACACGCTGTGTGCACAATCTCCACTCCCTGGGGAGCATTCCAGCCAGGTGTTACTTGACGCCCAAAAACTGTTTGACGAACATTGACGGCCGCATCCTACCGGGTACCCATTTAACATATGAGTGGTATGTAGCAAGTGCAGGTTGATATATTGACAAAGGATATTAGTGCCATGTCGGGATTCGAACCCTCGACCTGAATGAGGGTTCTTCTTGTCCACCTATTATTATTTAATACTTGTATATTTATGTATCATTTCCACACTGGTAATCTTCCGCACATTTGTCAAAACATGTTTATTAGTAATTCATCTGTTCATTCACATAACACAAGGCAAAAAATGTTATTACACAAACCCCTGTACGTCCAACCCATGCATTGAAATCATTTTGAAATGTGGGAATAAGCAAATTAAATTATTTAACGAGGACATAAGATCAAGTTTGTCTAGATTTAAAGTTATGTGCAAAAGGGAAGTATTTATTAATTTGTAAAACTAGGTAGGACTATACATTTTAATATCATGTTTCGCTTTGTTCATGTGCTTTCTCTTCTTCCTTTTTTCTTTTTAATATTCTACTCTCTCTCTCTATCTCACTATTTCTCTGTCTCTCTTTTATAATATGCTTTAAAGTGCATTGTGTGTGAGTGAGTGAGTATGGCTGAGTGTGTTTGCAAGATATTTTTAAGTGTTTTGTAATAAGTATGAATATACAAATATGTTTTTTTTTGTTTTTTTTGTTATAGTATGTTTTTCAGTGGCGGATCCAGGGGGGGCCGAAACGGCCGCGGCCCCCCTATTGGCGGCGCAAAAAAAAGGGAAAAAACAGAGGAAGAAAAGAAGGGAAAAAAGAAAGGAGAAGAGAAGAAGAAAAGGAGAAGAGGAAAAAAAAAGAGAAGAGAAAAGAAAGAAGAGAAAAGAAAGAAGAGAAAAGAAACAGAGAGAGAAACAAAAGGAGAAAAGAAAAAGAAGAAAGCCCCCCCCCCCCCCCCTCGCTTGTGCTTGTATTTGAACTCATGTTGGTAGTAATCATGGACAGGGGCGGCAATCTTGGGCCCGATAGGGAGAAATATAGCGGAAAGAACGTACATATTGGGCTTAGGGATTTTCTAGAATGCTTAATTTCAGCATTCAACATTGCAAAATCTCGCTCGGTCGCTACGCCCTGGCCCTCGCCCGATAACACAAAACTTCTTTCATTTCTACATTATTGCTTCTATCACAATCATAATTGTTTCATTTTGCCTTTAAAGCAGGCGCGTAGCCAGGGGCGGTAGGGGCAGTAAGAGGACATAGGACGAAAAAGGAGCAGACAAAAAAACATTTTTGAAAATTCTGACAAGTTGAGAACGGTACAACGAAGCATCTTCTTTCTCTAATAATTTTATGAAACATCAAAGCTACCACGCTTCGCGCGGGAGGGGAAAAACTGCATTCAAACAAGGATTAAGAGTCGAGAATGGTACAACGAATTGTCTTCTTTTCCTTAATAATTTAATGAAACGTCAAAGCTTCCGCGCTTCGCGCGATGGGGGGGGGGGGGGGGGGGACAAGGATTGAAGAGTCGAGAACGGTGCAACGAATTGTTTTCATTCTCTAATGATTTAATGAAACCTTAAGCTTCTGCGCTTGGCGCGGGAGGGGAGAAACTGAATTCAGAGAAGGATTAAGAGTCGAGAATGGAACAACGAATTATCTTCTTTCTCTGATAATTTCATTAAACTATGAAAGTTCGAGCTTCAAGGGGGGAGACTGAATTCATTAAACTATGAAAAATCAAAGCTTCCGCGCTTCGCGCGGGAGAGGGAAAACTGAATTCAGACAAGGAATACGAGTCGAGAATGTTTCAACAAATCATCTTCTTTCTCTAATAATTACTGAAAGGTCAAAGCTTCCGCGTTTTGCGCGGGAGGTGGGAGGAACTGAATTCAGACAATTAGGATTAAGAGTCGAGAATGGTACAACGAATCCTCTTCTTTCTCTAATAATTTCCTGAAACATCAAAGCTTCTGCGCTTCGTGCGTAATGGATGGTGGTAGGGGGGGGGGGACAGCGACCTGCCCGAATATGAATTTTGATATCTTTCTCGTTTATTTTGGTGATAAATAACACTTTCACAAAATACATATTATGCTCAAATTTTTTCTCGCTCGCTTCGCTCACTAACCGAATTGTGAAACAAACAAAAAAACCTTTTCGGGCAAGATGGCTATAGCCCCCC